TAAATTTAAAAATAAAAAATTTATTTTTAATAAATTTTAATAAATTTTTAAAATTTTAATAAATAGGGAGAAGAATCCACTCATAATCGGATAATGCCGCTCCTAATGCTCGGCGGCGCTGGCCCAAGCGGCTGCGGCGCGCGTGGTAAGGAGAGGAAAGGAGGCGTATACCACGGAAATTGGCTGAAATGTTCAGACTAATTCCGAGCACTGATTTAAAAGATATTCTGTCTGATCTTAATGCAAACGAGGCAGCTGAGTTGCTTATGGACAATGTTAGTGCAATAAATATAATATAAACATACGAAAATTCAAAGCGTGGAAAACACATAGACATTAAATATCATTTCATAAAATCTCAGGTAGAAATCTCAGGTAGAAAAACAGTTGTTTAATATAAGATACGTTAATACGAAAGAAAATTTAGCAGATTGTATGATTAAAGTACTGAACAAAGATAAATTTATTAAGTTAAGAGAACTGACAAACTTAGGATAAATACGAAAATATAACATTTATAGATTATAATAAGAAAAATCATAGAAATATGGAAAAAATTTTTTTTGTTTAATAAAATATAAGATACAATTTTCACCTTTTGTAAGAAAATCGAGGAGTGTTGGAATTATGGATGTGTGTAGATGTCGCGTGAGTGCGTGTACTCTCGAAATTTTTATAAGATGATTAGACGAATAATATACTCAAGATTTAGATGTAGAGAAGCTTTCCGTAATAGTTTATATAAACTGTAATAGTTTATATAAATAACAATAAATATTATAACCACAAAAAGATAGAAATTTAATATAACAACAATGACCTAGACATATGTTGTCAAAGACACATCACCGAGTAACAATTAAAAGGTTTTATCCGTCGCTCGTTGTTTGTTAAAAAGTTATTCTTAAAAAATATGACCACACAAACGAATGTTAAAAACCAACATTTTTCTTATTTATTATTTGTAATATACAATATTACATATTTTTGTTATTAATATGACACATTATAAATATTATTCAGTATTTTCGTAAGTTGCAAACCCATGTGGAACCTCGCTTCGCGTGGAAAGTGTATGCGTGGAGGCGGTGTCCGCGAGCAGCAGTCGCGCGTTTCGGGCAGGCGATGGGCCGTACGCCCAGATGTGTCAACAACGACGTGCGTTATCGCCACCGCCGCTACGGTCAGCTCACTGCCCGATCGCGCGCTTATTGGCCAATCTTTTTTAATTAATTACTCGAAATTTTACGTGGTTGTTTGCAAAATGGTATAGAACTTTTTTGTTCAGAATAACGAGATCTACTTGTATCTTTTTGGTAACACACCTTATGACAGACACCCTGTGTATACTTCGTCCAGCAAAAAATATATCTGGGTCGGACGAAAACTCGTCCGTTTCGCGCAGGTCTCCCTTCACGGGATGCTTAAAAACGCCCCCCCCCCCCCACCCATCCTTTTACTTCACATGACTGTACTGCTCGTGCAGTTCGTCAATGTCAACGCTCTCCCCACTTTGACCGCTGTGCTTCTCCTATGTGCAGAAAGATGTATATTCTCTCGCTGGACAGAGTATAGGTTTGGATTCAATCTCGCTTTACCTCAAAAGTGTACGATGATGTATTCAATAAATTTTTTGTTAATAACTTTTTAATAAACAACGAGCGACGGCTAAAATCTTTTGATTGTTACTCGGGGATATGTCCTTGACAACATATGTCAAGATCATTGACTTTTAAAGAGATTGATAATCTTATGTGAATATTTACCAAATATATTGGGAAGGACTCAAAAATTAACTGGTCAGCACGCTCTCCGGATCTAACACCGCTTGATTTTTTTTATGAGAAACTATAAAAGATATGCAATTTTTGCAATAATAATTAAAATTTTGCAATATTAATTAAAAAGGATTGACGAATAATAGCGCATTGCGTGCGGCTAGATCATGGACTATATGATCTGGGTGGGTCAACGGCGTGTCGCACGGCAACGAAAAATAACAGGGTGGGCAGCAAGCAGGCGAAAACGGTTGGATCTTGCTAGCTGCTCGCGTGTTACTCCTTCTCTCGCACGATTTCGTCTAGATCGTACAACCCACGATTTAGCCGCGCGCAACGCGCTATCATTCATCAATTCTTTTTAAGTAATATTTCAGTTGTTTAGTTATTGCAAAATTGCATCACAATAAAAAATTTTTTTGTTTAGTTTACCGCGCTCTACCCGTACACGAGCGTTACACAAACATTATCAAACACCCTGTATACATTAAAATATATGCAAATATATACGAGGATCGGTATGAAAGTAATGCCTCCAATTTTTGTTCTCAGAAAATTTAATTTCTACAACTATGATTTTTACATGATGTAATCTTCAGTCATCAACAAACATTCAGTTATATTTTCTCAAAGTCACCATCATTTTATATGCACTTTTGCCATCTTTGAATCAGACGCTATATTCAAACCCATTAAATTCCTTACTGCGACTCTTGAGGGTTTCACAAACACTTTTCGTAATAGTGACTTTGTGGAGAAATAACTGAATGTTTGTTAATGACTGAAGATTACATCATGTAAAAACCATTATTATAAAAATTAAATTTTCTGAGAAAAAAAATTGGAGGCATTACTTTCGCACCGATCTTCGTATTTAAGAGTATGTTGCTGCAAAATGCTTTATAGTTTATAGTTTAGTCATACGATTTTTGAGTCATTAAAAATGGCTGTTATCTTCTGCATTGAATCACTTATTTTTATTTCTCAGACCTAGCGATCTAGGTATATAGATAGAAATCTGATAAGTAAACATACTGATTATACTGTGACATAACTGTCATCATGTTTATCTAAAAACAATTTTCATGTTGTTCGGTCACTCCAGTGCTTGGAATTGATTTATATGCATATTTCTAGCGGCTTTCGTCAATACGTATTTTTTTTTCCAACTATGCGCGCTACAACAGCTAGAGCTGGTGCTTCTTAACTGCTGCAACGTGCGCGCTAAGGAGAAAAAGTAAACGTTGACATACGAAATCATTTGAAATGTGCAATTAATTCCGAGTACTGAGTTGCTCAGTTAACTGAAACTATGATTTCTATAAATGTAGATATTTTAAGTAAAGGTTTTCTTAATACTGTTTTTGCACTAATAGGAATTTTATTTCAATGTAAAATGGCTTTAAATTTAAAAGAAAAGAGTTACGGTAAGAAATTTGTAAAATTATGTACATATTTTTTTAACAGTCCAATACGCGGTATCGTACGGAAGATCTATTTTTGCTTCTCCTTCGGCTTCCTATTGGCAAGGACAACAGCGGTATCCTTGTACGCAGCTTCTGTTCACGATGAATCTCTTTTGCCAGCACCGGTTTTGTATAGTGTTTCTGGTTCTAGTTACAGCAGTGAGGTTTGTCATGTAATATTACCATAGTTTGAATTGTTAACTTGTGGTTGATACATGGTCAACACAGTCTAGTCAGAGGTTGTTAAGCAAAAACCTGAACTGTTTTAATATACAAGACGTCCCAGACCTACTGTATCACCTGTTCATGACAGATTTCTGATTGTAAGATTATTTGGAGACGAGAATCTTAATAACAAGATATCAAAACTGCAATAATTTTTCAATTGAAACTGTTTGAAGTTAACCAATCAAATTGCATGCTTAAGCATGTTGTACATTAAAAGTGTCTGAATTCGTCCATGACATGTAAAAGTTTTGACAGAGGATACGCATCGTGTTCTAATATCAATATTACAAAAAATTTTTAAGCTATTATATTATTACCACAATATTTGTCGAAATTATTATCTGCGTATAAAGAAAATAAATTTATAAAATTATTTAAATAAAAGTACATAAATTATTTCAATATCAATAATTAAAGTGATATCTGAAAGCACTTTTGATGTACAATGTTTTTGAGCGTGTGAATTTTTGACAATCTAATTGGTAAATTTTAAATAATTTTCAATTAAAACCTCGACATTTTGGTATTACTCGGTATTTTGGTATTACGCTCGTCTCTAAATGACCACAGAAATCTGCCATTAATAGACGATACGGTAAATCTGGGACATCCCTGTATATCTTTAAGTATTATTAATAAATATAAAATTTTTTATTGAAAAGTTTCTTCTATATCAAGAAACATATAGTGATTTAAAGTCGGGTAATTGAAAAAAATGGTAGCATGCTATTTAAAAGTTAATTTCCTCAATTGTTTCTCTCCACTTGTACATATACTTGCATAATATTACGCAGGTGTCGAGGTTCTTGACGCAAGTAACGACGGATAATATAAGCTTAACGGGGATGAAATTCTTCTCTGTGACAAGGAGCCTCGTATTAACTGTAAGTATGATAATTCAAATAACTTCAACATAGTTTAATTAAAGGAATTATTTGATAATGCAAATCTATCGAGTGAAAAAAATGGTGATTATTACTCTTTTATACAAAATTACATTAATTTTATGTATCTCATAAATTTTGTTTCTTATTAAGAAATTAATCTATTAAATGTTCTACTTTAAAAAAAAAAATAATTTAAAAACGCTTCTAGTGTTCGAGATAAAGGTGTTAAAATTAATTTAGCAGAAAAATAAAAATAAAATAATATGTGTTATTAAGATAATTTAGATTAATTTTAAACAATTATATTGAAAGATATGTTTCGTACATATTATCTGATTATCAATAATGATTCAGGTTGCTGGAACCATCGTGACTTATGAATTGGTTCTTGTACAATTCAATTCTGTTTAGCAAGTGGATCAGACAAATATGATGAATGTTTGCGAGGTGAGGTAAAAAAAATATATTTATATACAGGGTGTCCCAAAAATTTTGACACAGCGGTCGTATGCCGGTAGAGCAGACCAAACTGAACCGAAAAGTCCTCTACCATTTTACAATTTTCACAAGGGTTAAAGATATTAATTATTAAAGATTACCGAATGCGAACGCACGGCTGAGATACGACCGCCTACAGACTACGGTCGCTAGGCGCGCGGCGTGCGGTAAGCGAC